ATTGATCACCTCCCCCCCACAACCTCGGGGTGAGTCACACTGAGCTCCCGCCCTGCGCCCCCCCTCCCAGGGTAAGTCATACTGACCCCCTGCCCCTGGGGTCAGTCATACGGAGCCCCCCCCAGGGAGGGAGGTCAGTCACAGACACGCACACTCACACCCACTATCTGTCTCACACACAGACAGACACACACGCTCACTCACTCACTCACTGACCCATGGCCCTCCTCACTATTTCCAGTCAGGAGCTGACAGAGACCCTGATGGTTTCTCTGAAGAGTTGTAGCCCTGGCCCCCTGCTCTTGTCCGGTGGGGGTGGGGGTGGGGATGGGGGTGGGTTGTTAACGGCTGTTTCACAGTCACACAGACTCTGAGCGTTGCCTGTCTATGTCCCAGGCAGTTGGAGCTGAAGCAGCTCGAGTACAGGAGGGTGAGGGTCCGAGGGAGGTTTGACCACTCCAAGGAACTCTACATCATGCCCCGAACGAGGGTGGACCCAGACAAAGAGGCACAAGAAGCTGGACGCCTGATGTCCAGCACAGAGACCGGAGCCAATGTGATCACTCCATTCGACTGCACTGAGCTGGGGTATGTATCCAGTTGGCCCCGTGTGTTTGGTAATGAACACTCCCGATTCATCCCTAATCACAGGAACAGCACGAGGCCATTCAGCCCATTGAAGCTGTCACATCATTCCATCACACAATGCTTGTATGGAAATTGAGTGATTGCAGTTAATGACCCCATAGCATCACAACACACTCCCCTCTTGCATGGTTCCAATACCTACCCACATTTCATAAAGCTCCTTCTACACTGTCCTCCCATCAAACACCCCCAAGACAGGGACAGCATGAGTAAAGCTCCCAGTACACTACACCTATCAAACACTGCTAGGACAGGGACAGCACAGGGTTATTCTTGTTACAATATATCAATGTGTGCCTTTTTTAGCTGCAGCAGTTCTCCAGTGATATGGTTAGTTTAATGTCTTGCAATAAAGGAAGAGTCGGTTATTCACAGTTAAAACATAAATTAGTGATGAATCCAAAAAGGTTTCAATTAAGAAATGTATAAAGCTGTTTGTTTGTGGACAATGCCAATAGAACTTGAACCAAAAGCTAACACAGTAACACATCGATTCTCACAAACTGAATCCAAAGATTGCCTTTCTGTCAATTTGGACCATGGTAGCAGGCTGGGACACAATGCACAGACAATCACAGTTCAGGCTTTAAATGGCATCTCTCCTTTGAAGTGTTCCTGTGTGAAGTTCCTGCGACACTGTTTAGTGCAACATTCCACGTTTCCTTTGAAATCAGTTTAATCCACACAGGCATTAACTTTACATCGTTTACAAGAATGATAACTGAATTTTGGAGTTGAGTTATCAGAAGAGATGATACAAATTAGGCCTGTTAACATTAGGTTGATAACACTAAACTATTTTCACTGGTTGGTGATTCTAGAACTAGGGGCATAGTCTGAGAATTAGAGCCAGACCATTCGGGAGAGCCATAGAAACATACGGCATGGAAACAGGCCCTTCGACCCAACTCGGCCATGCTGACCAGATTTCCCAAACTGAAGTAGTCCCATTTGCCTGCGCTCAGCCCATATCCTTCTAAACCTTTCCTAGCCACATTTCCTGGAGAACTGTTACGGAAAACAACTGACCTCCCCTTCGGAAGCACTTCGACACATACAGGGTGGTAGATGTTTGGAACTCTCCTCCACAAATGGCAGCGGATACTGAATCATTTGTTAGTTTTAAATCTGAAATAGATACATTTTTGTGAAACAAATGTGCTAAAGGATCTGGGCCAAAGGCAGGTCTATGGAGTTAGGCCACTGATCAGCCATGGTCTTGCTGAATGGTAGGATAGGCTCGAGGAAATGGGCAGCTGCTGTTCCTATTTCCTTATGACCCCGAGTAAATAAGGACAGATTTTTATTAGCAATGGGTTGAAGGGTTAATAGGGAGCAGGCCAGGAAAGTGGAGTTGAGGCTGAGATGAGATCAGCCATGATTGTATTAAAAGGCAGAGCAGGCTCGAGGGGCTGAATGGCCTCCTCCTGCTCCTATTGTAACTTTTAGCTTGTATGTCTTTTTTTTAAAAGAACCCATGGGCTTAAATGTTCAATATAGTCACATTTCATTTGAGATTATGATCCATTTTCATAACACCAGATAGTCCAGACTTTGGAGATGACCTGCACAATGAGCTGATGGTGGTGATTTGGGAACAAAACGAGAATAAACCCGGTGCTCAGTGTCCACAGGACATAGCCCATTGGCTGTCACTGCACCCAACAGTGCTCCCAGTGTCAGTGTGTTTACAACATTCCTGCCTGTGATCCCAGGATGAATTTCACCCACTGATTTATTTCAGGGTGAGGATTCTTGTGAACAGAGGCTTCGTTCCCAGAACGAGACTGAAACCGGAAACACGAACGAAAGGACAGGTGAGAGGGGCTGAGGAAAGGAAGACGCGAAGGAGCAGACGGTGCTCAGGGGAGAGTGGACTGTGGGATTGCTGAGGCTGGAGGCTGTTCCTTCTCTGTTCATTCACTGTAGCCTGGATCTCAGCGTCGATCTCCCTGAGCAAAACACATCGATGCCTGACTCCGAATCAAAAACCTTTGGTCAGATTTCTAGAAGGGTGGGAGGTGGGGAGGATGCCAGTGATGGGGGGCGCATGAGTGCAGGGAGGGATGGTCGGTGTGGGTGCGGAGTGTCTGCGGGGAGTATGGTGTGAGCGAGGGTGGAGGGCGGTGTTGGCTTTAATTTCCCGGAGGAAGCTCACCAGAGGGTCAGTGCAGACTGGATGGGGCCAAATGGTCTCTTTTTGCACTGTAAGGATTCTATGATTTTATGCGTCAGCGGCAGCACTTCCTGTAAGAGGCAGCTAATTATGAGTTACCGTGTGTGGAGCTTCCCAGCAGCTCGGAGGGAACGTGGTACAGGGAGCTGCAGAAGGGGCTGGTGAGTGTGAATGAGAATTGAGGAATGGGACTGTCTCTCTGTGCAGTCAGAAAGCAGAGTTGTTAGTTGTACAGCATTGAGAGTTGACAGGAGGAACTGTAATCCTGTCACAAATTGTCTTCTCCCAGATTACAGACGAGGTGGAGATTGTTGGTGTCATCCGACTGACAGAAAGTCGCAGACCATTCATCCCTCAGAATGATGTCGAGAGGAATCATTGGTATTACCGGGATTTGGAGGCAATGGCACACGCTGTGGGCACAGAACCCATCCTCATTGACGCAGACTTCAGTAAGTTCTGGTCAAAACGGTGTTCAATCCACTCACATCTGAATCTAGCAATCATGGAACTGAATGCACTTCACAGGGTCAGTGCTGAGGGAGTGTCGGAGGGTCAGTGCTGAGGGAGGGCTGCACTGTCGCAGGGTCAGTGCTGGGGGGGGGCCCGCACTGTCGCAGGGTCAGTGCTTGAGGGAGCACCGCACTGTCGCAGGGTCAGTGCTTGAGGGAGCGCCATACTGTCACAGGGTCAGTGCTGAGGGAGGGCCGCACTGTCGGAGGGTCAGTGCTGAGGGAGGGCCGCACTGTCGCAGGGTCAGTGCTGA